GTTTAGAACTATGTCGTTAAGGTTTTTATTACTTTTACTACGCTTAGTAGTTTGCTTTTGAATTATGGAATATGCCTCTACAATGTAACAAGAAGAGAGAAAAAAGAGACAACAAAATCTAATTTTTTCACAAAGAATTATGAAATGCAAAAGTTAGACTAATTGTTATTTATGATAGAAAAGTTTACTCAATAAGCAATAATGATCAGATACAGTGTCATGTTAAGACACAACTTGGTTGCAAAGTAATTATTTTTTATATATGAAAAGATGTAGAAACACATTTAAATATGGGCAAATTACACTTTATCCCCCTGTAATTTAATATTTTTCTATATAACCCCCTCATGGTTTGGATTAAAGTGTCAAAAATGACAGAAATAGTCATTTATAACGAAACTTTTAAAAATGTTGAAATTACCCTTATAAATACATGACACGCTAACCCCGTATGATTTTTATGTTTTACTATATAACCCCTATATGGTTTAATGCTTTACCATATAATCTCCTTATTGTTTTCAAAATATAAACATAACCCCCTTTGGTTAATAAATAATTTTCAACTTTACATTAGGGCACTTTTTAAATTTAAGGTGACTCTATTATAAATGATTATTTCCGTCACTTTGACACTTTAATCCAAACCATAAGAAGATTATGTATAGCTTTTGAAACCATAGGGGGTTATATGAAAAAACACTAAATCACAGGAGGTAAAGTGTAATTTGTCCTTTAAATATTTATTATCATTAGCAAGTATTCGATCCAGATCATTTTGTACTTTAAATTGAATCTAGTATCGGATCCATTCAAGTAACTGCAACGACAAAAATCAGCATCGGATCCACCCAATGTTTTTGAACTCAGACCCATAACTAACCTATTTAAGCAGCTAATTCCTAGTTTTATCGGTTCAATTGGTTCGATTGGCTGAGTCACTGGTTCACTGTTTTAAATTATTTTAAAAATATAAAAAATACTATAAATCCACGATCTCCAAAACAACTAGACTTCTAACTATGCTTGGTTAATGCCTCCCTTAAACCAAGCATATTTAGAAGTTTAGTAGTTTTAGAATTATATATTTTTATTTGGTAACTAGATTAGAATTGGTGTCAAATTTGATTTAGGAAATAGGTTAAATCACATTTTGATACTATAATTACAATAGGATTTGTGGTTATATTTTTCTATTTAAAGATTTGGAGTCCCAAGTTTGTAGTTGAGGGAAATTAGTGACTTAAAACAGAATATTTTGTTTCCTCTTATGCCTTTATTATTATCTATTATTTGTAAAATTATAATGCTACTTTCACTGCATGAATTTTCCTACTAACATGTTTTTGAGAAAATCAAAAATCAAGAATTTCAAAGGAATTTGGTATGACTATTGCTTCTAAGGTTGTAAATTGTGTGTCTGCCCAAGGTTTAGGTCCCAAGAATTTTAGGTTCTAAATTAAAGTTACGTTAGTAGTTCTATGGATAGGTAAATACTAATTGAAGTGTCAATTAGGTTAATCTATGCATACGTTGACTGTTATTTGCAATCTCAAATTAAGAACAGATCATTAAAATTTGAAAGATGTGTGAAGAAAATTGGATATTAATATAACTAAATGCTTTCAAGACTGGAAACAAATTCTTCAATGTGTTTGTCTGAGCTTCCTCCTTCACTAATTGCCTCCTTAGCCAACTCCTTCCACCTCAAAGCATTGTTTCTAAGCTCACTTGCCTTCTCCCCATGCATAACTTCTCTTATAGTTCCTTCTACTTCTTCTCTTGTTACCATTTCCCTTTCCTCACTCGCCTTAACTCGCAATCCTACCTTCCATACATCCACAATATACTTAGAATTTGTAGGTTGATCAACCCACACTGGCATGGTCACCATTGGCACACCCAAGCTCAATGCTTCAATTGTTGAATTCCAACCACAATGACTCATGAAGCATCCCACCGCCCTGTGCGACAAAACCTTTATTTGAGGGCACCAATTCACGATTAGACCTCTTTCTTGTGCCTCGGACATGAAACCTCTAGGAATTTTGCTCTCTTCAGAAGGTCGAACTACCCATAAGAAGTTGCAGTTGCTATTCATCAGGCCGCATGCTATTTCCTGCATTTGATTTTCTCCAAGGTCTGAGACACTACCGAAGGATACATAAACAACTGAGCCTGTTTCCTTGGTGTCAAGCCATTTTAGGCAAGCTTCTGAATCTGGTGCGAAGAAATTGATGGTGTAATCTTTGTCATCTTTCAATCGCTTGTCAGTGTACATGGATGGAGTACAAGGGCCTATGGTCTTGATTGGATACCGTTCTGTCAACCAGGTCACTACCTAGTTGAGATTAAGCAAAAAGATTGTAATATTTCCCAAACAGCAAAATTCAATCAGGTCCCGACCCCAAAAGACAATTAAGAAAATTGAAGCATGAATTTATGAAAAGATTATCTATGCCAATTGTATTGAAATGTATGAAAGATTAACATGTAGACTTACCTAATATGAGCTATGCTTTTAAGCTCGGATCTGTGAGTGATCCGAATGAGGACCCTGATCAATCCTGGGTTAAACATCTAATTATTTTTTAATTATTTTAGTACTAAGTAATTTGGATAACGTCAAAATATATAAAATTAAAAAAAGGAGGAAACTAGTTCAACCATCTGGTTTTGACTGGTTTAACCATTTCTTGATCCGAATTGACCAGTTCACTTACCTGTTCTAGTTTAATAAAAAACCTAACCAGTGCCAATATCGGTTCGCAGTTTAGCCATTCAAACAGCCGGTTTGGTCCGGTCTGATTTTCGAAACAGTTGACATAAGCCGTTTGTTTCTTAATTATTAACTTTATTTTTTATTAGCAATAACTAACTAGAAATTGTACAATGTGATTTTTGCTATGAACAAAATAAACAGATCTTATGGTCTACCAATGATCAAATTCCAAGGATGAACTTAACTGACACTAACAATGATTCAAAAAGTATTGCCAATATGTAATTTAATTTAAACAGCGTCAAATAAAATGTTGCTAATGGGTGAACTTCCAAATTCCAATTATTTATGGAATGAGAAATCTACCTCATTTTCTAGCTTGTCAAAAGAATTGAACAAGAGCCAATCTGATTTCTCGAGGTTTATATTCTGACTGAGGACAACATCCAAATGACCCGGGTATGGACTAGGGTTATAAACAAAAGACGGCAGATCATCCGACTCCAGTTGTGGCATTGAAGGAAGCAATATGGTAGATGTCTCTAGAGGAACTTTCAACGTTCCTCGATGAATATGATTGAATATTGCGCAAACAGCGCAAGCCTGAGTGAAAAACGCAGCCCCTTTAAGGCCTAGCTGTCCCTGCACTATCTCCAAAATCCATGGCATCATTGAATCATACAGAACTGTTTTCACGGGATGACCAGAACTCGCCTTTTCCTTGACTAGCTTGGCCAAATTGTCTGAAACTGCGGTATTAAAACGTTTCAAGAAGGCAGTAGTTTTCTCTGAATATTTTGACCCCTCAGCTTCAATGTTATCATCGTCTAGAATATACTCGATCTGGATCGATTCAAACTGATTTTGCACCGATAAACGTGCTGAGGTGCTTGTGACTAGCGTGATTCTAACACCCTTCGAGGTTAAACGCTTGCATAATTGCAGCATCGGATTGAGGTGGCCTTGGAGTGGGGATGGGATGGCCAGAACATGAATTCTACATCCAATTTCATCCATGTGTTCCCTGTTCTGTTCCTGCTTGGGTTTTATAAAGAAATTGAGGTTGGAGTTCCAAAAAGTGTCTTTGCCTTCAATTTCTCGGATCGATATTATAATGCCTGGCCAAAAACATTTTTAATGATTTTTGAGAAAAGGCAATGCAAGGAGGCCAACTGTGTGTTCTGTGGGGATGCACAAAGACGGACAGCAAAAAGATGCATCAGGTATAGGAGAAAGCTGGTTGTGCGTGGATGAAATAATGCAATACATTTTGAAATCACAACAAACGCCCTCTCAAAAATTTGTTCATCATCTAATGCCCAATACTTATATTTGATAAATGAAAACAGTTAATTACATATCCTATTATAATATCAACAACTATAGGTGTTGAGTTGATTGAATAATATTTTTCGTTTTCTTTTTTTTTTTGGCATTTCAACTAGTTGTCAATTAAGTTTCAATTGAAATAAAGATTTTATAATTGTTTAAATTATTCAATAAAATTATCAATGTCAGATGAATGTAAATATAATACATTGAATTGTGTTATTGAAATATTTGATTTAATATGAAGGAAAGACAAGAAGAAACAGCAAGAAATATTTTTACAATTCACATGAGTCATTCATATTAGTAATCACCTTTACTTGTTAATGAAATCACAATGCCTAACCATAATTGATTGAAACTTAGATCCACAAGTCATGTAACAATTTGAGTTATATTGTTTAGAATTAAAGTTACTATATCCTCAAATTAAAATTCTCTTTTTTCCACTAATTTTTCTTTTATATATGATTCATGTGTTGTCATTTGTTTGTAATTAATTTAACGAACAGATGCTCTTTAGGCTAAATGATAGTATATTCACAATGTGAAGTAATTTAAGGGTTTTTATGAGATTTGAGAACACATTTTTTCATGCATTTAATCTAAGTCACATTTTATTTCATTTGAAATATAATTATCTAAAACATAAGGGACCATATTGAATAAATTTTCAAATATTAGGGACCAAAAACTACAAAATCAAAACTTTTGACTAATTCTAATTTGATTTTGACCATTAGATATTCTAATTTTCTATTAGTTGTCAAAACTTTTGGGACCATATTTATTTTGGTCGAAATATCAGGGACTAGTTTAACTCATAGACCAAATATTGGGGGACCAAAATAGGGGTGAGCATCGAATTCGAATTCGGTAATTCGGTAGGTTGAAATCGGTAATTTTCGGTAAATGGTGTTGAGATATTTCGACCTAATTCGTATTCGAATTACCAAATTTCGAATTCGAATTCAATTCGGATTGAATTCGGTAAACACAAATTGACCGAATTGTCCGAATTCCTGAAGCAATCGCAGCCTGTTTTGCTTCGTCGCCTCCTGCCATACCAGTATGCAAAGGTTGCTACTGATGCAGCCACAATCACACCCGCAGTTGCGTACCAAGCGTGTAATGGTTTCTCGATGACGAGATTAGAACTGCCAGCAACAAGAGGAGGTGATGATGATGATGGTTTCTGGCTTGCTGTCAAAGCAAATCCCAGTCCCTGCCTCTCAAGCTCACCCAGGTCTTCAATTGCCGGTTTAAGCCTCGTGGCCTTGGCTATAGCTTCGTACTGCTCTTTGGTTCCACCCTCCAGAAAAGAACCAACAAGATGACCCTTATTAATCCAATAAGCCCCAAAAGTCTTTCCCGAGAAATCCCCAAAATGAATTACTTCCCCTGCGTTGTCTCCATAAAACTGCCAAGACAATGTGAAGACGCGGGAGTAGAAGAATGGCAGGTAGTCGAATTCACCCGTCTTTTCTGGCTCCATGATAGCAGCAACAGCATGCCTTGCTGACTTCCTCGCAGAATCTACATGCTCAAGTCTGCGTGTTTCAGCAAACATTTTTACTGGAAAAGCGGCAACATCCCCAACTGCATAGACTGAAGTGTTGCTCGATTGCATCTTCCCATTCACCTTAATCCCACCTTTCTCGAATTCCGAAATTAATTCGAATTCGGTATATCCGAATTCAAAAACTATAAAACCGTTTTCGAACCTAATTCGATTTTAACTAGTACTATATCCCCGATTTACCGACCGAATTACCGAATTACCAAATTGAAATCGATTTCGGTCGGTAAATCGGTATTTACCGTAATTGCTCACCCCTAGACCAAAATTCCACATCTCCTTTTATTTTAATCATGTCTAAGTTTCCAACTCTTCCTTTTATATTTATGATTCAATTATTTTAAATATCAAACTCAATTAAAAACGAAAACCTACCACAATATTTGCTTTGGCATTAGATGATGAACAAATTTTTAAAAAGTTTTTATTGTAATTTTAAAATGTATTGCATTATTTTATCCACGCACAACCTGACTCTCTCTGGTGCCAACCCCGGAGAACACAGTTGGCCTCCGCATTTGCTTCTGCCTACTGTGGGCAGAAAAGGGAACTTTCCACCCGTTGACGTGACCATGGTTTTGGCCAAAGTGCTGTTTCACGAGTAACAATGCCAAGAGTCGGGAATCTAGACAAATTAAGTCAGATGCTTCAGTATGTTGCGAATACATGTACAAAACCGACAAGCTTGTTAACTTTTTTTATATTTTGGCGCGTACTATGAGTTTGTACACATGGAAAATTCTTTGATTAGGCGCATTTCAACCTACTCAGGAAAGTGACTTGCATCTCCATTATCTATTGGCCTAACTAAAATCATTGATTAGGCTGATTAGCCCCCAGACCAAACTCTAATTTTTAAAGTCCTACAATTAACTATAATCATGATCAACTTTGTAATGCTTAATGTCACAAACGAAGATTAGTATTACCATTAACATTATCATTACTATATAAAAAGTACCATGAGTCTTGGTACTTTGGAATGTAAGTACAAACATTATTGTGATCTTGGTTTTTATTATTCTAATTACTAGGGAGAAGACCCATGCAAAGAATGGCAATTTATACCTGTGATGTTGTTAAATAATTTGGTAATGTTGGACAATTGGGCAAGGCATACTATTAATGGTAGCCAAAAATGTCATACCATGTGTATATAAAATATTGCATACTATTATAGTAGATAATCAGTTGAGAGAATTATCAAAGCTTATGCAACCATAGTGAAGGGATAATAGACATAGTTGTAGTTCAAATTGAAGGTTGATGCTGCATAATTTTACTATTCAACCTCATATTATTCACATAGATAGATAAATAAAGTCGTAGTCCTAAAATGTAAGTAGGTAAATAGCTAAGGTAGCAGTCTCTAGGTACGGTGCTTCTTGGTTGGTGGTTGAGCACCTTCTGCAGGTTTTGAGTTTTAGCAATTGTGGTCGAAGCTTCTGGAGTGGAGCTTGGTTTTGTTATTACTTCTGAAGACTTATGTTTCACGAGTTCAACTAAATTCAATAAGAAAATAACATAACATATGAATATAGAGACTTGTCTATTCAAATAGTAATTTCGATCCACACACACCAACTCATGCACTTAACTATTGAAATAAGAAAATTGCCTCACATACAACTATTGCTTCTGAGATTGTAAATTATGTGTCAACTCAAGGTTTAGGTCCCAAGAATTTGAAGTTCTAAATTAAAGTTACATTAGTACTTCAATCGATAGGTTAATACTAATTGAAGTGTCAATTAGGATAATCTATGCATACGTTGACTGTTATTTGCAATTTCAAATTAACAACAGATCATTAAAATTTGAAAACTGTGTGAAGAAAATTGGATATTAATTTAACTAAGTGCTTTCAAGACTCGAAACAAATTCTTCAATGTGTTTGTCTGAGCTTCCTCCTTCACTAATTGCCTCCTTAGCCAACTCCTTCCACCTCAAAGCATTGTTTCTAAGCTCACTTGCCTTCTCCCCATGCATAACTTCTCTTATAGTTCCTTCTACTTCTTCTCTTGTTACCATTTCCCTTTCCTCGCTCGCCTTAACTCGCAATCCTACCTTCCATACATCCACAATATACTTAGAATTTGTAGGTTGATCAACCCACACTGGCATGGTCACCATTGGCACACCCAAGCTCAATGCTTCAATTGTTGAATTCCAACCACAATGACTCATGAAGCATCCCACTGCCCTGTGTGACAAAACCTTTATCTGAGGGCACCAATTCACGATTAGACCTCTGTCTTGTGCCTCGGACATGAAATCTCTAGGAATTTTGCTCTCTTCAGAAGGTCGAACTACCCATAAGAAGTTGCAATTGCTATTCATCAGGCCGCAAGCTATTTCCTGCATTTGATTTTCTCCAAGGTCCGAGACACTACCGAAGGATACATAAACAACTGAGCCTGTTTCCTTGGTGTCAAGCCATTTTAGGCATTCTTCGGAATCTGGTGTGAAGAAATTGACGGTGTAATCTTTGTCATCTTTCAATCGCTTGTCGGTGTACATGGATGGAGTAGAAGGGCCTATGGTCTTGATTGGATACCGTTCTGTCAACCAGGTCACTACCTAGTTGAGATTAAGCAACAACATTGTAATATTTCCCAAACAGCAAATTTTAATCAAGCCCACCCCCAAAAAGACAATTAAAAAAATTGAAGCATGAATTTATGAAAAGATTATCTATGCCTATTGTATTGAAATGTATCAAAGATTAAAATGAAAAAAAGGAGGAAACTAGTTCAACCATCTAGTTTTGACTGGTTTAACCATTTCTTGATCCAAATTGACCAGTTTACTTACTTTTTCTAGTTTAATAGAAAACCTAACCAGTGCCAATATCGGTTTGCGGTTTAGCTATTCAAACCAGCTGATTTGGTCCGGTCTAATTTTCGAAACAGTTGATATAAGTCGTTTGTTTCTTAATTTACTAACTTTATTTTTTATTAGCAATAACTAACTAGAAGTTGTACAATGTGATTTTTGCTATGAACAAAATAAACAGATCTTGTGGTCTACCAATGATCAAATTCCAAGGATGAACTTAACTGACACTAACAATGATTCAAAAAGTATTGCCAATATGTAATTTAATTTAAACAGCGTCAAATAAAATGTTGCTAATGGGTGAACTTCCAAATTCCAATTATTTATGGAATGAGAACTCTACCTCATTTTCTAGCTTGTTAAAAGAGTTGAACAAGAGCCAATCTGATTTCTCCAGGTTTATATTCTGACTGAGGACAACATCCAAAACACCTGGGTACGGACCTGGATTAGAAACGAAAGAAGGCAGATCATTCGACTCCAGTTGTGGCATTGAAGGAAGCAATATGGTAGATGTCTCTAGAGGAACTTTCAACGTTCCTCGATGAATATGGTCGAATATTGCAGAAACAGCGCAAGCCTGAGTGAAAAACGCAGCCCCTTTGAGGCCTAGTTGTCCCTGCACTATCTCCAAAATCCATGGCATCATTGAATCATACAGAACTATATTCACAGGATGACCAGAACTCGCCTTTTCCTTGACTAGCTTGGCCAAATTATCTGAAACTGCGATTTTAATCCATTTCAAGAAGGCAGCGGCTTTCTCCAAATCGTTTGATCCCTCAGCTTCAATGTTATCATCGTCTAGAATATACTCGATCTGGATCGATTCAAACTGATTTTGCACTGATATACGTGCTGAAGTGCTAGTGACTAGCGTGATTTTAACACCCTTTGAGGTTAAACGCTTGCATAATTGCAGCATCGGATTGAGGTGGCCTTGTAGAGGGAAAGGGATGGCCAGAACATGAATTCTACATCCAATTTCATCCATGTGTTCCCTGTTCTGTTCCTTCTTGGATTCTGAGCTAGCAATTTTCGCTGAATTGGATAGGTAATCAAAGGATAATACTATAAAGAAAAAAGGTAGAAGAGGAACAAGAAAGAGTCCGATCTCCTCGACATACGAAGGATAAAGATCCAGATTTAGATTAATTGATGTCTCTTTAGATGGTTTTTAAGATGAAACTTAGATAAAGAATTTGAGGTTGGAGTTCCAAAAAGTGTCTTTGGCTTAATTTCTCCAATGAATATTATAATGCCTGGCCAAAAACATTTTTAATGATTTTTGAGCAAAAGGCAGCTAGGCCAACTGTGTTCTGTGCGTGGATGAAATAATGCATTACATTTGGAAATCACAACAAAAAAGTTAAGTAATATTCTATTATAATATCAACAATTATATGTCATTGAGTTGATTGAATAATATTTTTCGTTTTCTTTTTTTGTTGGCATTTCAACCAATTGTCAATTAAGTTTCAATTGAAATAAAGATTTTACAATTGTTTAAATTATTCAATAAAATTATCAATGTCAGATGAACGTAAATATAACTACATTAAATTGCATTACTAAAATATTTGATGTAATATGAAGGAAAGACAAGAAGAAAAGCAAGAAATATTTTAAAAATTCACATGTGCCATTCATATTGGTAATCATCTTTACTTGTTAATGCAATCCAATGCTTAACCATAACTGATTGAAACTCAGATCCACAAGTCATGCAATGATTTGTGTTATATTGTTTAGAATTAAAGTTGCTATATACTCAAATTAAAATTCTCTTTTTCTCACTAATTTTTTTTTTATATATGATTCATTTGTTGTCATTTGTTTATAACTAATTTAACAAATAGATGCTCTTTAGGCTAAATGATAGTGTTTTGACAATGTGGAGTACTTTTAAGGATTTTTATGAGATTTGAGAACACATTTTTTGTGCATTTAATCTAATTCGCATTTTATTTCATTTGAAATATAATTATTTAAAACATAAGGAACCATATTGATCAAATTTTCAAATATTAGGGACCAAAGTACACAAAGTCAAAATTTTTGACTAATTCTAGTTTGATTTTGACCATTAGATATTTTAGTTTTCTTTTAGTTGTTTTAAATTTGTTTAAAATAAAAATTTTGGGACCACATCTATTGTCCAAATATCAAAGACTAGTTTAACTCATAAACTAAATATTGGGGGACCAAATTGC